TACCCAGATTTCTGGGTTCTCCTGCCGTGGGGTCAGCCCGGCTGTGCCCCAGCCCAGCTCTTGCCACAGCGGCCACTTCGGCGTGGTGAGGCTCTGCCGCCAGCGCAGCTCTGGCGCCCTGTACGCCGCCAAGTTTGTGAAGATGCGGCGGCGCTGGGGCAGCCGCCTGGGGCTGGAGAGGGCGCAGGTGGAGCGGGAAGTCGCCATCCTCCGCCGGCTCAACCATCCCAACATCATGCGGCTCCACGACCTCTTTGCCAGCAGAGCCGAGGTGGTGCTCGTCCTGGAGCTGTGAGTGGGGTCCTGGTGGGGGGACTGTGACCCTTTTTGTGCCACGTTTGAGGGTGGCTGAGCTGCCCCATCCCCACCGTGCCCAGGATTCGTGGCGGGGAGCTCTTTGACTTCATTGCGGAGAAGGAGATGCTGTCGGAGGAGGAGGCCATCGAGTTCCTGGGGCAGATCCTGCGCGGGGTGGAATATCTGCACGCTCGCCTCATCGCCCACTTCGACCTCAAGGTGCCCATGGGGACCCCCATCCTCACTCTCTGAGGACTCTGTCAGGCACCCCAGAGCCCTGGTCTGATCCTTCCCACCTTCCCGAGGTGCTGATGTCCCCCCTGTCACCCGTCCATCACCCTGATGTGTCCCCACAGCCCGAGAACATCATGCTGCAGGAGAAGGACGTCCCCAAGCCCTGGATCAAGATCATCGACTTTGGGCTGGCCCAGCAGCTGGAGGATGGCATCGCCTTCAAAAGCCTCTGTGGGACCCCCCAGTACATTGGTAGGGGGCTGGCACGTCCCCGAGGGTCCCTGCACAGGGATCACAGCAAGGGGACCCCTCGGGTGGGGACAGGACCCCGGGGAATGCAGGGAGGGCGGTGGCAGGACGGTGCTGTCCCTCTGATGTCCCACCCTGGCTCTGTGTTCACCCCCAGCTCCTGAAGTGATCAATTATGAGCCGCTGAGCCCCGCGACTGACATGTGGTGAGGAGCTAGGACCTGGGGGCTACGGGCTGAGCTGGAGGGTGGGGAGGGTGGGGAGGGACCCCCCTGGTGCCACAGGGCATGGGGGGCCCCTGGGAGGGCAGCGCCTGACCCCCACCTCTGCCTTCCAGGAGCATCGGAGTCATCACCTACATCCTGTGAGTACGAGGTGATGCTCCCTGTGGCTGGGGGAAACTGAGGCACAGGGACACTGTGAGTGCTGGGGTGGCCGAGGCGGTGCTGCTGTGGCATTCAGTGGCTCTGTTGTGTCCCCACAGGCTCAGTGGCCTGTCCCCCTTCCAGGGTGAGACGGATGCTGAGACCCTCTCCAACGTCGTGGCCGGTGCTTACGAGTTTGAGGAGCGCTGCTTCAGCCAGACCTCCGAGATGGCCAAGGACTTCATCCGGCAGCTGCTGGTGAAGGAGCCGGAGTGAGGGCCCATCACCATCCCCATCCCATCCCCTCCGTCTCCTTCCCATCTCCTCCACCTCTGTTATCTCCACCTCCAACATTCTCATCCCCATCTCCATCCCATCCCATCCCCAACCTTATCTTCATCCTTACCCCCACCTCCATTATCCCCATCTCCATTCCCACCTCCATTCCATCCCATCCCATCCTCATCCCCATCTCCATCCCAATCTCCATCTCCATCCCAATCTCCACCCCATCCCAATCTCCATCCCATCCTCATCATCTCCATCACCATCTCAACCCCATCTGTATTTCCATCTTCATCCTATCTCCATCCCATCCTCATCATCTCCATCCCATCCTTATAATCTCCATCATCTCCATCATCTCCATCATCATCTCCATCTCCATCTCCATCTCCATCTCCATCTCCATCCCATCCCATCCCATCCCATCCCATCCCATCCCATCCCATCCCATCCCATCCCATCCCATCTGTGTTTCCATCTCCATTCCATCCCCACCCCCATCCCATCCTCCCCTCCATCTCCATCCCATCCTCATCTTCACCTCCATCTCCATCCCGTCTCCATTTCCACCTCCATCCCATCTCTGTTTCCATCTTCATCTCCTCCACACCTCCACCCCCATCACCCCCACTTCCACCTGCTTTCCTTCCCTGTCCCCATCTCCATCCTGTCCCCATCCCCATCCCCACGGGGGATGTGTGGGGTGAATTCCCCCTGCCCCAACACCTCCCTCTGCCCCGCAGGCASCGCATGACAGCAGCCGAGTGCCTGCTGCACCCCTGGATCAAGGTGAGCGGCACAGGCAGGGGCTGAGAGCCCTGGGAGCAGGGCGGGGACACGGTGACAGCTCCGTGTCCTCGCTCCCGCAGCCCCTGAGCAGGAAGCAGGTGCTGAGCCGGAGCCGTTCCTCCATCAACATGAGAAACTTCCGCAAGTTCAACGCCCGGAGGAAGTGGAAGGTGAACGGGTGGCCGGCTGTGGGATCCCCTGAGACCCCTGGGGAGTTTGGGCTGGGCTCCATCCCCAGGCTGGGCTCCATCCCCAGGCTGGGCTCCATCCCCAGGCTGGATCCATCTCGGGAGTGTTTGCAGTGCTGTGGTGGGGGGCTCAGAGCTGGGGAGGGACCCCCACCTCGGACCCCCTCCTCTCCTGCCCTCCAGCTCTCCTACAACACCGTGTCTGCCTGCAACCGGCTGTGCCACACGCGGCTGCTCTGCGGCCTCAGGAAGGAGGATGAGGAGCTGGTGAGCCCCCAGAACCCCCCCAGCATGGGCTGGGGAGGGGGGAAGAAGAGATTTGGGGCTCTGTCTCAGTTTTCCCCTGTAGCAATACCCTCTATGCTGTAAACCCCCCCCCGTTTTGGGCAGGAGAGGCAGAGGTGGGACCCCCCCCTATTTCTGGGATGAGATCAGGGAAATGTGGTGGTGGGCTTGGCCAGAGATGGGTGGGTGAAGGGCTGAGCAGTGRCTGTGCAATAGGGGTTGTCCCCACCCGGGGTGGCCTCTCCTCTGGGGGGTTCTGTCCCCTGTCCCTGCCCTGCAGCCACCCTGTGCCCCCAGCGCTGCTGTGAGAGTGACCAAGAGGAGGACAGAAGCCCCCCCATGGCCCTGCTGCGCCGGCGGAGAAGCAGCTGCTCCTGAGCCCCTCCGAAAAAAGACAGGACCCCCACGAGAGGAGCCTCGGGGGTCCCCCCATCTCCCCATCCCAGGGGGCAGGAGCGCTGTCCAGCCCCAGTGCTCCCAGTTCCGTGCTGCTGGAGGGTCACTGGGGCATCAGCACCCCGCTTTTGCCCCCAGGTTTTGCTGCAGTGGGGCTCACGCTGCCCCAGGGCTGGGATCTTCCTTCCTGCTTCGTCCTAACGAGAAAAATAAATGTCACCCCTTCCTCCATCCTCTTCTCCTGCTTCTCCTTCCCCTTAAGGACGGCTCGTCACAGCCGGGCAGGTGCTGTGTGCCCGCAGCTTCCTCCCATCCTCCTCCTCCTCACTGCGGGGCTGCTGTTCTGCGGGGACCCCAAAGCTGTGGGGTCCTGGCACCCCACATTCACCCTGTGAGGGTAGAGTGACCCTAAAATTTTCCCTTCTGTGCTGCTCCACGGGCCTGCTGCTTTCCTGGCAGAGTAACTGGGATCCTCCTGCTCTGGCTGGGGAAACTGAGGCAGGAGGCAGCTCTTCCTTCCCACCCACTCCAGCGCGGGGGGGGGGTGGGTGGGGCTGGCGCCCTGTTTTTCCCCCCTCTCTATTTCCCAAACAAGCCCTGGCTCCGGCCCTGACAGTTGTCAGGCTAAATATTTTGTGTGCGGCAGCCGAAAACAAAAGTGAAGGGGCCGCAGGGCCCGGGCAGGGTCCGTGGGGTCCCCCCSCCCTCGCCCCGACCATCCCGGCGTTCCCCGGGGAGCGGCCGGACACGGCGACAGGGACSGGACGCGGTGCGGCAGAGCCCGAGGTGGGACGGGGACGGGGCCCTGGGGGTCCCGCTCGGGGATGGGGCCGAGGGGGCTGCGACCCCCGCGCCTGGGGGTGATGCTGCTGCTGCTCGGCCACCTCCCGCTGCCCCCCGTGCGGGCTCCCTCCGAAAGTGAGTGCTTGGGAGGGGGTGTTCTGGGGTGCGGGGGGATGCCTGTGCTCGGGGATCTGCAAGAAACAAACCTTGAGGCTCTTTGGGTGTTCCCTGCCTCAGTTTACCCCGATGGCAGCACCCTCGTTTTGGGTAGGAGGGGCAGAGCGTGGGACCCCGCTGTTGCTGGGATGGATGAGGGGAACGTGGTGGGGGCTTGGCCAGGGATGGGGACATCGGTCCCTCAGCCCCACCGGGAAAATTGTCACGGGAACCGGGAGCTCTGATCCCGGGAAGGCTGAGAAAGGTTGGGGAGGGGGCAGCTGTGAGTCCTGGGTCTCACGGTCACAATGGGACAGCTGGCGGTACCGGGAGGCTTTGTCATTTGTCCTGCTTTCCCCTCTCCCTGCCACCCGTACCTCAGTTTCCCCAATCACCAAGAGTCTGTGCTGGGGGGTGGGAGCAATGGAGGAGAGGGGTGAAGAACCCGAGAGCTGCCCAAGGGACACACCTGACCCTACTGGGCCCYCTGTCCCCCCTCTGTCACCCCAGGGACGGGGAGCACCCCTCTCTCCTCACAGGGTGACTTTGCAAGGTCAGGGAGGTGACGGTGGCAGTGGGGGCTGTCACCCTCGAGGTTGGCACTGCASTCACGGCCGGTCCTGCAGGAGGACAGAGGGGACAGGGGAGGGGACAGGGCTCCCAGTGAGGGGCAGTGACGGGGTGAGGGGACATGGGTAGTGCCACAGTGCCCGCAATTCATGGGTGACACCAAGAGGGGAAAAAAGCCACCAGGCATGAGGTCAAAAGGACAGGGCCATGGCTGTGGACAGACGAGGGGTGACCACGCACCCCCAGGTCCCCTCTAGGACCTGGACCTGGTTTCTGGCTGGGGATTCTGTCAGTGGGAAGCTCTTTGCTGATCCTGGCTCTCGCATCCCTGCTGGGACCGGGAAGGAGGAGGTGCTGGGGCTCATGCTSCCCATTTTTTGGGTGGAAAAGCCCCAGGAGAGCCAAAGTGGGGCTGGGACGGTGCCATCTGGGCACCTGTGGTAGCTTTTGTGTGTCCCTTCACCTGTCTGGGAGCGACGGGGAGTTAATGGGAATGACCTTGCTGGAGCTGCCACTCCCTCCGTGACCGCATGTCCGTGAGCTCCCACATCTGCCCCACAACTCGGGGAAGGGGGAAAGCCATCTGCACCCCCAATCAGCCTCCCCCGGGGTGGGCAGCAGGGCTGGGACGTGGTCCTGGGGCTGTCATGGGGCAATGCAGATGCCAGGCTTCATTAGTGTCACAGCTGACGGACACGCCGTGCCCCGGAGAGCCGCGGCGCGCCGGCTGCTGTCAGAGCCGCTCGCGTCTCCCCGGCTGCCCAAACCAATTCCAGCTGCGCTTGACAGCCAGCGCCAGGATATTAAACCCCTCCGAGCATCACCTGGGGGGTCCCTGGCTGGGGGTTTGGGGGATCAGCTGCCCTGTCCCTGCTGCCCACGGGGTCCCCCTCTCGCCACCGCAGTCTGCGGCAGCATGGACATCCGCAACGACGTCTCCCAGCTGCGGAAGCTGGAGAACTGCTCCATCATCGAGGGCAACCTGCAGATCCTGCTGATGTTCACCACGGGCGCCGAGGACTTTCGGGGGCTCAGCTTCCCTCGCCTGCTTATGATCACGGAGTACCTGCTCCTTTTCCGCGTCTACGGGCTGGAGAGCCTGCGGGATCTCTTCCCCAACCTCTCGGTCATCCGCGGCACCAACCTCTTCTTCAGCTACGCCTTGGTCATCTTTGAGATGCCGCACCTGCGGGACGTGGGGCTGCACAGCCTGGGCCACATCCTGCGCGGTTCGGTGCGCATCGAGCGCAACCAGGAGCTCTGCCACCTCTCCACCATCGACTGGGGGCTGCTGCTGCCTGATGCTGGTGACAGCACCTACATCGTGGGCAATAAACTGGCTGAGGAGTGCGCCGACGTCTGCCCGGGCATCCTGGACGTGGAGAAGCCATGCGTGCAGACCAGCGTCAATGGACAGCTGGAATATCGCTGCTGGACTTCCAGCTACTGCCAGAAAGGTGGGTGCTGGGGGGTTTTTTTGGGGTGGTTGTGTAGGGCAAATTGGGAGGGTACTGGGGGAGGCTGGTGGAGCCACCGTGGGGTGGTTGGCCCCAGAAYGTGGCTGTCACTGCCCTGCCACCGGGAGCGTGCCGTGCCGTGCTGGCAGCGTGATGGGGTAACCAGATCCCTGCTGTATCATCCTCTGGAGGAGAGGCCAGCTCCTGGCTGTCGTGTTTTCCCRGTGGCGAGGTAAATACAGGCCCCTCCTCAGCTCGTTTGCTGTAAACAGGAGAGCTGGTAATGAAATATGTACTATAAACACAGATCCTTATCGGGGCTGCAACCTCGGCTGCAGTGGGCAGATGGGATTCAGCATGGCCTGAGCCTCACCTCGTCCATCTGTCTGTCCCTCTGTGCAGCCTCTCAGCCACCCATCAGTCCACCTGCCCAGCCAGCCACTGACCACATGGCTGTCCATCCGTTCTTCCATCCCTGTGTGCATCCCTCYATCTGTGCCGCCGTGCCTCCATCCATTTCTTCACCAATCCATCCCAACCTCCCTGCATCCCTCCTTCCATACCCGTGTCCTTCCCTTCCTCCCTCTGTTCTTGCATCCCCACATCCCAGCATCGCTCCTTC